TAAACTGTGTTTTATAGAGGAGAAAAGAATCTTACTGCTAGGGCACTTAACTCCAACAAAGAAGCGGTCTCTGTTACTTGCTTCTGCCACACACCTCATGTCATCTTCCATCAATTTTGTCTGATTTGGGCCTTATATAACAACATAAGATCCTATAATATCTTCAGTTTGAAGGGACCCACAAGAATCTCGAAGTCCAACTCCTGGCCCTTCACAGGACAGCCCCAAGAATCACACCGTGTGCCTGAGAGTATTGTCCAAGCGCTTCTCAAGCTCTCTCAGACCTGGAGCTGTGACCACTTTTCTGGGTAGCCTGTTCCAGTGTTTGGCCACTGTTTGGATGAAGAACCTTTCCCTAATATCCAACCTAAATCTCCCTGGACTCAGCTTCGTGCCATTTTCTTGTGTCACTGGTCACAAGGTACTTGCCCCTTCGCTTTGCCTCGTGAGGAAGCTGTAGACCACAATGAGGTCTCTCCTCAGTCTCCTCCAGGCTGAACAGACCAAGTGACCTCAACAGCTCCTCATAGGGCTTCTCCTCAAGGCCCTTCACCATCTTTGTTGCACTCCTTTGGACACTCTCTAATAGCTTAATAACTTTATTATATTGTGATGCCCAAAACTGCACACAATATTCAAGATGAGGCCGCACCAGTGTAGAGCAGAGCAGGACAATCCCCTCCCTCAACTGGCTGGAGATGCTGTGCCCGATGGATTACTAATGATAATACCAGCTCCAGTTTAGTGACTTTTCACATGTACACAATTAATTACTTGAAATGCAAGCCAATCACAGTTAACTTTATCTCCATTTTAGCAATGAAAAACCCTCTTCCACAGACAGGAAGCTAATTTGTATAACGCTGAATTTACAATGTGCTAATAATGTACCTAATAAAGACCACCTTCTATGGGGTGGTCATGAAACATCAGTTATGTATCTCAGAAATAATGATTTATTCCAGTTGTTGACAATTTCTATTAAATTGTATGAACCTGAAACTGAAACTATTTTCCTGACTAGGCAGAGCAGAAAACACAATGTCTTGGTTGGAATTTCCACATACTGTTTAGCAGAAAAGAATTCTTCATTGACGTGTCGTAAGATAGTTGCTATAAGCATGTGTAAAATTTGAGAGATTATTCAGATGTGTAGTAAAACCAAGAAAGAATATAATTTCTTAGCTTGAAGCACTTAAAAACAAATTCCAATTCGGTCAGATTATACTACTTTGTTTTGAATGTAGAGTAGCACATAGGGTGTTAGTTCTTTTCTTTTTTTTTTCCTTGAATGGAGTTCATAGTATTAGAATCTTTCCAAGCTAAAAATGTAAAGTAGCAAGTTCATCAGGGTGGGTAAAGTCATTTACCAACATGGGAATTTTTTCTTTCAAGGTTGGCAGGAATAATATAATTCTTCAAAACTGAAACAGGTGGAAAATTATTTTGCTTGTCTTTTGACAATCATGTTTCTCCTGGCCTCACCTCAGCATGCTACTGCAGTGTTTGCAACCACCTTGCTGTGCTTTGCAACAAATCTATTTCTTCTTCTTAGTCTGGATCTGGCTATTCTGTAGTTCATTCCAAGGAATTCCACAAGAAATAATAAAAGCTTCAGTTTGTACAAATAGTACTGATTTCAGGTACAGTGGTTCAATGAATTGACAGGACCTACTAAAGTCATAATAGGCAGAACAAAGTATATTGGAATTTGCTCCACAGTAACTTCAGTGTAGCTGCTCACAAGTGAATATTTGCAGAATTGAAACTACCTTTCTTACTTCGTGAAATAAAGACTCATCCAAAAATGTTGGTGATGTTCTTAGCCCTTCTGAAAGCAAGCTGTGTAAGTGAAGAGCATGTCAATTCTATATAATCTAGGTTCTTATCAGTACAATATACCAGTACTCAACAGCATTTTTTTTTTATTTTTTTTTTTTTATGCTAGCTGCACTGTTGGTCCCAGTTACTGGAATAAGCAAACATTAGCTTTTTGGATATAAGTTGTGCTTCATATTCAGTTTGATCAGGCTGTTAGCTTGATCTAGTAATCCCAGAGAGTACTTCAAAATTGTTGCTGACTGTGTTCCCTGCTTCCTCTGCTTTATGGGACACAAGATAACTTCAAAACATAACCATCTAACTGGCAGTGAAAGATATATCATTTTTTAACTATGTGCAATAAAAACCCAAACCAAACAGAATCCTCTCTAACAAACAAACTAACAAATAAACAAATGAGATATTTTAAATTGTTCTGTATTATTAAAATGCTCTACACCCAAAATAAATTAATTCAAGCAGAACTTCTTTTTCTGCCAAGTCTAATAACTAGATATATCTTTTTATTGCAGCTTGCTGTGTGATATCATAGGAGGAAAGAGCCCCCTAATGGCTTCAGGTTAGCTAGGAAAATAAAAATAAATTTCACATTCTGTCAATTCAAGTTGGAAAGGAATGCAACATTAATTTCAAAAAGAACCAAATAATCTTTTTGAGAAAAAGGTAAGACAACTGAATCAGTTTAAAGTGTTGCAAAAAGTTCAGATTAACAACATTCAAGACTTGAAAGAAAATGCACAATTTGTAGTATGTAAACTCTTAAACCTTTCTTATTTGATTTTTTAATTCCATTTGTTTTCCTGAATTTGACAAAAGAAGATGCTTGCAATCGGTAATGTGGAAACGAATATCATATAGCTAAGTTTTTGGGCTTCTGATTTTCTTTTGTGCTTAAAAAAAAAAGGTTCAAATTTAATATTCTCTTTTCAAAAATAAACACTTTTAAGCTTTATTTGGAATTTCAAGGTTGACTACTAACAGATACTAATCTGGAGGGAACCATATTGCTGACTTTGAAATCACAGAATTACCATGATTTTATTTCCAGTAAAAAAATTATAAGGTATATTTAAGGAGCACAGATGAACAAGGCTTTTCAGAGAGAAAAGAGAGAGATTAATAAGAGCTGTAAGAAAGCTTTTGCGCTTACATAAAGGATTATTTTTGCAAGTCAAACTGCACATGAAATATATTGAGGCAGGCCTTAAGCTTTGTAAGAATCCAGTGAATTAGGCATCCAATTATCTTAGCTCCTTATAAAATATTGTCCATATTTGGTAGCTCAAACTCTTGATATCCATGTCTTTGTCTTACTGTTAAAATTTTCAGCCAGGTAATTAAAATATAAAGGGTTTCTCTCCATTTTTTATGGTCAGATTCTGCACTCTGACTCCATAGTCAATGTATGCAGTCTTCACCTTTGGCAGTATTTTGTGGAGTAAAATACCACTTAATGAAAGCTATGGTGGCAAAATGTGCCCCCAAGAGAATTATTTGTTACCTGGAAAGAATTTCAGAAGGAAACATTGAAATTGCTGACATGGATCAATTATGTATGTAAGAAATAACATAAACATTATTAATAAAGAAAATATAAAGAAGTAAAAAAGCACAGATGCTATAGTTTAAGTAATCCTTTAGTTTTGGCTCATCAGTTTAGTTCTTGTTCTTGCCAGTGCTTATTCATATTGTACATTATAGAAGATGAAGCTTTCTCTTAAGCATTACATATTTTTTCATGGGGCCACTTAGACACCCATTCAAATTATTGTTAGTTTTAAAAAAAATCTCTGTATGCCTAAGGTCCTCAACATTTAAAATGTCTTTCTTTTACAAAATTATAAATAATCATTTTGGTAAGTCCATATTTAGGTTTTGAGAAGTCATTAAGTATTTGAGTATGGTGGTTTATAGAAATTTATAAAAAAATTAATAGTAAAGGAAGAGAAGAAAGTGCTTTTCTATATTTGTGATGCTTTTGTCATTGGATAAATTGGATTAGGGTTAGGTGCACAATCTAAGAGCAAGATCTTGCTATAGGGAGTTTCTTAGTTGGGCAAAGCATTGGAATGTTGTACTTGGCTGGGTGCAAGCCCACCTACATGGTTACATGAATAGACTGATGCCTCTACTTCACTTAGAGGGAGTAATCACAATAGCTGGTATATGAAAAACTCTTCAGCAGCAGAATACACAAAACTGATGAGGAAGGTGGTGCAGATTATCACATCTGTTAGGAATATGCTCCTAGTGAAGTGACAATGCTGTCTTCCTAGTATTATGCTCCCATGGCCTGTAAATCCCGAGTTGATCAACTTCCTGACTTGCTTCATAACCAAAAGTCAGGTTATTTCAGTTTTAGCCTATCACCTTCAAAATCACAGCAATCCATCACAACCTATCACAGCAAAACCACTTACTGCATAGCGGAAGTAAATACATAGAAAGTTTATATAGAGATAGGCAATTAGGAGACAGTAGTGTCAATGTCACATCAAAACAAGCAATCAGTCTGTGGGATGGCTGCATCAAATATGCAGCACAGTGTAATAGAACATCTTAGGTTTCATGTCTCAGGTCATAAGCCTTGATCTTTGCTTTGCAGTCACAATGCTAGCAATAACTACTATATCTATATACAAAAAAAAAGGCAGTTTAATGCCATATTATTTAAGGCTGACCATATTTGCTCAGCTGTGGTAAGCTTGCAGTCAAAAGACAGATACTATTTCAAACTACTGACATGCACTGAAAAATCCTTCAGGTAAATGTTCTCTCTACCTGGCTTCAGAACACGTACACTAATGAATTAATTATATGTGAGCTCTTGTGTGCCGTTATTACCCCAGACTGCTTAGCATGTGTGGGACAAGTTACATTAAAACATCATCCAAGTAGTTAGAAATAATCTTTCTGGTTGTTTCATTCCCATTTACTTGAAGGGTTAAGCATGATAAATGCAATGCAAAACCATGTCCTGTTGCTAATTGTCTTCCAGTGTACATAGTGTTTGACACATATAATCTGTGACTGGAAGAAATGCAAGTGCAAAAAATGCATTCTGTGAACAGATGCCAAAGCTTGTGTTTAACATGCAAGATATAAAAGAATAATTCCTTTTTTTAGCTGCCCAGAAAAGCAAATTATAATTTCCTTACCTGGAAGATCAAACTCTGTATATCATCAGTATCATGTGAGCTAAGGGGAGAGGATGAATTTTTGTCTTCAGTAATAAGCCTTTCTTCAGAGATGCAGAACATGAGAGATGTAAGTAAAATGAACTATTCCAACGTCCAGTCTGTCATCAGTTGCACAGGTTTAGAGCTGGCATCCTCTTGCAAATGAAAAAAGGTAGCTCAGCAAGTTCTCCGCTGAAGGAGCTCAATATCAATGTTATCAGACACCGGTAGTCACATACTGATGCTAGAGTGTGTACAGTCTCCCTCTATTGCGCGCTTTCTCTCGCTTGCTCTCCCTCTCTCTCACCCTGACGTTCACTCAGCTCTGAATCTGAGCTCCTTCTGCTGCTGTATAATCAATCTAGCCTGTCTGAATCTAATAGGCCTCTATTTAACCAGCCAATCAATAGCACAGATTCTGCTGCTGCTCCCTGGGGTCTTTTCCAGGACTGGTATAAACAATATACCAGTTGGGCAGCAGTTTAAGCAAGTATTTTTCATTATTTTATCTCCCTTAAAGAAAAATTGTTTAGCAGAGCCCAGGTTCAAAGCTATCTTTCTCTGTGTTCTTTTTGTGAGAGTTATATAAACATGCACATTGCAGTGCACTGACATTCTGAACACTTTTAAATTTTTACCCAATCTGCGTGTTTTAGAACGCATATTAAAAAAGAAAGAAGAGAAAATGAACACACACACACATTTCCCCCATCCCCCAGTCTAGAAATGAACCTGCATGGCAAGCCTCAGGCTTTGTGTTCTGAAAAATCCAGCAGTGTGTTTTGTAACCTGGAATTGTTTATGGCAATTGTGGAAATTAGGCATAAATCAAGAATTAGGAGAATTGTGCTTCACAGACTGTGCTTCTAACCCATGCCAGCTCGAACTCACTTTTTTCCTACACTATTTATATTTCACCTTGTGTGATTTGGGGGGGAGGTTGTGGGTTTTGTTTCACTGCCTGTGTGTTTCTTTGGTGGGTTTTTATGTTTGTTTGTGTTTTTTGTTGTTTGGAAGGTTTTTTAAGAATTTATATAGGAACGTCATAGATTCAGATACAGGAATAACTAGAGGTACAATGTCTACTCAGCAGATTCACTTTTTCTGCCAAAACGTTGGTCAGAATTAACTGATAGAAACAACTATTTGTAGTACACTACAAGCATACCTTATCTTGCACTGCAGTGTGCTCAAGATGTGCTTGCAGGTATGCAAGAAATAGACTGTTCTTTGGTAGGTAAAACCAAAATTTCAGGAAGGATATTTTGCAAAGTAAATATTTTTATTGCACCAAACCAGAATTCTTTTAAAATTTAATTTTATGTTTTAGGGACACTAAATCATAAGAACATTGATTTGAGACCTCTTCATTCTGATTGCAGTTGAAAATTATGAACTAACTTTCATGCTCAAGCAAACTGTGGGAAAGTACCTACCATACTCCTAAGTCCAGAGGGTAGTTACATCAGTCACAGATGCTTCCATATAGCAGCATATTGACACTATTGTATTCTGTTCATAATTCAAAACAGCAACTGTAACTAAAGAACACCACGAGTCCAATGCATATGTTTTTTTAGAGAACATAGTCACATTCTTGGTGGATGTCTCATATATGATTATTGTAGAAATTCAACTGAATCCAGAAACAAAATGAGAGCTTTGATTTTCTACCTCTTCAGTGTTTAGACTTTCCATCAGTCAAAGGATCTCTCAATACACTGCTGCACTAACACCTTGTGTCTGAGATCCTGTCGAGAACTGGAACTTGCGGTCCAGCTCTTCATTTCATGGTCAAAATTGCGTCCTTAGAGAGTTAATAAATGTCAAAACTGTTACTGAAGAATGAGCTCTGTAGTCTAACATCAGAGTCTGACATAAGTAGATGTACTAATAATTTAATTTTGTTGTGACAACCTGGTTGATAGGGATTTCTCCTTGACTCATGAGATTTCTTGTGTAATCTCTTAGGAGTGGTCAAAAAGGGTTGTTCCTTTCCAGTCCCTTTATCAAAAAATCCCCCTTTAAACAGATTTACAGAGTCACGTCAGACAGTTTATGCCTTACATAACCTACCGATTTATCCAGACTTCTTGGATAAACATAAGCTAGGCCTACTAAGTCATCAATTTTATGTTATTAGTGTCTTGAAAATTCTAGTCAAAGACTGAAAGGGAAAGACAGCAGGAAGAAAAAGACCAGCTGTTAAACTGGACTTTGCAACATAAGAAGGAAATATATGGTGTTCATCAAAACTAAGGGGTACCTCTAAGCCTATTCAGAGATTTAGAGCTATCAGAAGAAAGATCTGTTTACTCTGAATGGTTACACAAGAGTATGTGTAAGGTCATGTGATGGCAGAAAATAACACATTTATAAACTTGAATCTCTTTTAACATACATACAAAAAAAGTTACAGGAAACAACCAATGAAGTCACAGTATCCGCAGCAAGTTTAACTCATCTGTTCTTCATGGGAAATATCATAGTATCAACCAACAATCTCTGATTTCCCAATTGCATACGGAATACCTCATTAACACATTTAACAGATGTCTCAAGTGTTTTGAGTGGTCTGCATTCGCTAAGTGATGCTCATAGATAGAAAAAAAGATTAACATGAGTAAATAAAAGTGAAGATGGATAGAATTATGTTCATACAATTGTATGAGTGTAGATCTGGTAGTGAAAGTGTGTAAGCCTGTACAGGCCTATATGTTGCAAGAATGGCAATTAGGGTGTTCTGCCCTTGAAGGGAGGGTGGAAGCAGAGAGGTGTATGGCAGTGCACAGTTTTTTGCAGATCTCAGTGAAATAAAGCCCAATAACACATGGTGTAATAAAACATCTGTTTTAATAACAGATTATAAAGAGGACTACAGATAGAGAGTACAACGTGCATCCCATGTATGCTGACAACCCTTCCTTCATGCAGCACAGACCATGGGTAGACTTTCCTAAAGCACCGTACTCGTACTCAGATCCTAATCATGGAGATGACTTTTTCTCTCTCCCACTCTGTTGCACCCTTTGTTTTGTGTAACAAAGAGAATCACATACCATATCCTGACATTTTTTAATATTACCTCTGCCATAACACCAATCAGCACAGCACAAACTGATTTGGGATATGCCAACAAGTTCCCTTAAAACAGCAGCTCATGCTAATATATGGGCTGCTCAAACCCTACGCCTGGAGCCCAATAGAGCAAGTGCAGGTTATCAAGAACCACTATGAAGAATGCACTGTTTTCCACAAGGCTCCCAATACAGATGAGAGGAGCACTGTTGCATGTATTGGAGTGGAAGAAGCTCACTTTCCAAGTACTCTTCTGATATTTTTCTTCCTGACTTCTTTCAGCATCTAATCTAATCTACCCCATGCAAATCAAACAGTAGTTGTATGTGAGCTGCTATTACAGAATTCTGCATTGCGCAGTTTGATACGTTAGTGTTTGGTTTTTACTCTTCAGTTGCGGGCAGGACTGTCAGGGTCACATTTTTAAAAAGATAATCACTGTGAATCAGCAAGTGTCCTTTTATGCAAACACTGAATTAATGATCAAAAAACCATTTACTGAAATTTTAATTGTATTTTGAGAATACAAATGTTAGCACACACTTGTCTAAGACGTAGCTTTAGATTCTACATATGCTGTGTGGAATTTGTGCTCATATTGAATATATACGGAAATATCTCCTTGGCCTTTATGTCTGTAGTGAAGTATGATAAATTGTTTTAAGAATGTATCAATACAACATATCACAGCATGATAATTCAGGACTGCAGTAATGTATCTTCAGTAGATAAAATGTATGGTTGCTATCTAGATAAATAGATGTTTAATACTGCAGGGATTAATGTTGAGACCAGTGTTTAAGCCTGAAATATTGAAACATTGAGCTAAACAATGCTAAAGTAATTTAGAATAAAAGGCATACTGTATAAACTCTGTTAAGAAGCTCTGCATATCCAGTTGTTTTTCATTTTGTTTTGCTTGGTTTGTGAGCCCTGTGTTTTCGTATGTTATTAAGTTTAGTTCTGTATGAGAAATTGTTTTTTCCACTATTTCAGATTTAATTAACAAAGAGGAAATATATGTGGTTCCTACCTTATGATTTCAACAACAATCAAGATAGTTTTTCTGTAACCAAGTAATCAAAGGAAAGCCAGTATGTGCAGCTCTGTAAGACTATATCTTGTGAACATTTAATAATACAATAACAGATTTGCCTATTCATAGAGGTGCCTTTGATAGATTCCCTCAATGAAAATAAAAAGTCAGGGTTCTACATTTTATACCTTTCACAGGAAAGAATTAATTAAATGGGCTTTCTACACTGAACCTAAACACTGCTTTTATTAATTGTACTACTGCTGACTGTATCATTCAACTCTCACGTCTTGCCGAGTCTTAACACATTCTTAAATTCTCAGACATTTCACGTTTGAAATTAAGTAATGCATACTCAGCTATTCAATGTAGAAACCTGAAACATTATTTAGCTTTAATGATACTTAAGAAAAGTCTTTTTCCAGAGATGGGGGACAAAACTGCATTTAAAATTTGTTTTAAATGCTTGACTGTAAATATGAGAATACTGAGGATAAATTTTGCAAATTTTATTTCATTTTTCCTTAGAAAAATTCCTTTACAGATCCAGAAGGGCATGCTTAGGAAAGAAGCCAAGATACAAGTTCTGAGAGTTAAGTAAGATAACAATACATAGTTTCTTGTATTCTATATAGTGTTTCTCATTATTTCTCAGTGGTGTCAAGCAATAGGATGGGAGGCAATGGGCAGAAATTGATGTACAGGAAGTTCACCTGAACACGAGGAAGAACTGCTTTACTGCATGGGTGACTGTGCACTGGAACAGATTGCCCAGAGAGGCTGTGGAGTCTCCCTCACTGGAGATGAATTCAAGAACTCTCTGAAGGCAATCCTGTGCCATGTGCTCTAGAATGACCCTGCTTGAGCAGGGATGTTGGACCAGATGACCCACTGTAGTCCCTTCCAACCTGATTCTCACAGAATAGACAAACATGTTAAAATTTGATTTTTTTCTATTTCAACCTATAGAAGCTAGTATTTTAGTTTTGTAGATACTCGGTTTAGTTTTGGTAAACATCCTAGAGAATGAGAGAAGGTAAATCCCCATTATTAAAGACTTTGACTTCAGTTATGAAAGCTATGTATATGAATCTGATATAATGGAATACATGTCCATAAAGCACAACATACCTTATTTTCTATCTGAATGCTTTACTGAGCTTCAGGGTGAACATTGTTATAAAAATGCAAACCAAT